TTACGAGGGGGTTTGACACAATTTTTAAATTACAGAGGAATAACGCGCAGATTTAGTATAATACATGGGGGTTTGGTGCAATTTACCTAATAATAAAGGACCCCAGGTTTTGGGTGTCTTCAATTCAATTCAATTAAATTAAATTAAATATGGTGGGACTCAGTTACTTTTGAGCTTGTGGGCTATATACCTTTATTTTAATTTAATTATCCTTTGTTTTTTTCTTATTTATTGGTAGATTACAAATTGTACTTATTTATTTTATTTTTCCTTTATGTTTTGCTAGATTACGTATTATAAATTGTAGTGTAGTCTGTGCCAAAGCCCTGGGACGCAACTGTGATGGGCTCCTTTTACTTTTTCGTTTTCGAAAAAAGTAAGATTCTAATGGGCTGACTCATTATCCACATGCATAATATCGTTTACTTTTTTTTTTTATAAGGATTTTCCGGTTTCCGGATCCACGGGGGAACCGACTAATCAAGAATAAAGCCGGGTAGGACCACAAGGGCGGCAAAGTTCTCTCTCAAGAGTTTTTACACTCAAATATTTTTATTTTTTTTTAATCAAGTAGTAATTGCAACTTGTTTATGAAAATAAAGCTAACATTGGAGAGTGAAGGTTGACGGGGTCATAATTTTTTTATAGATATGTATATATCTATTAAAAACTAATCATTGATCATAAAACCAATAAAAAGAGTCTACGTTTTTCGATCATAAAACGTATGACAGACTCGTTTGATTGGTTTTATGATCAACACAATTTATATGCAGAGTTCACAAAACATAATGATATGTTTCTTGTCCATATTATATATAAAAGAAGTGTACCCCAAATTAGGTAAATAATCGCAATGGAATATAAGGCATAAGAGATGAAGCCAAGACACAAAAAATCGACTACTTTATCTTTGCTGTTTCTTATCTTCTTTATAAGATAATAATAATGCCTCGTGAGGATAGGAAGAGACGCGGGAAAGATTTTTATTATTATTATTATTATTGTTATTATTATTATTATTACTATTATTATTATTATTATTATTATTATTATTATTATTAATTATTATTATTATTAATTATTATTATTGTTATTATTATTATTATTATTATTATTATTATTATTATTATTATTGTTATGTTATTTCCAGTTCTTTTGTTTTCTCCATTGTTCTTCAAATTGGTGTGATTATATATATGAATCTTCAAATTGGTGTGATTATATATATGAATATTCCAGAGTTATTTTTCTTCATCAGATTTAGAACACTAATGCCCTGTTAGTCTATATGTAGGTCTGAATTATTTCCATATTTATTAGGACTTTAAAATTAAAAAACATTTGACTAGCTTCAATTATTAATATATTTAAAAGTTAACAGTTTTTTTATTTGTTATCAGCTTTATATATATATATACACTTCATTATGTCCATTGTATATGGAGCTGGAAGAGTCATTGTTGACAATTCTTCTGGCATAGTGCTAATAATGGACTATATCAAAATGGCTCAATTAAATTCTAGTGCTTCTTCTATTAGTGAAGTTTCTAGAAAAAAATATATCAAACGACGCAACGCACCTTGGGTCGCTATGGAAACAACCTCCTTGTATAATTACAAGGGTAAGGTCTGCGTACAACTGACCCCCCAGACCCCAACCTGTTAGGAATATACTGGGTATGTTGATGTTGATGATGATGATATATACACTTCATATTGCATATATAAAATTTATCGTCTTAAACGAGTTTTGAATAAAATTAATCACAAAATTAACATTTGCAATCTTGCTTACAAAATTTTGAAATGAAATGACAGTGATGTAAATAAATCTTTACTATTATGACTCTCCTTACCATATATAACTACACTGATTGATATGGCCAAGCACCTAAAGCAAATAAAAAGCAGCCAAATTAAAACCTATTATTATTGGTGTGGTACGTACCGCTGATGTTGGCCTGCCTTGTTAATTCAGCATGTTTTTTTTTTCAATAAAATAATATATGTTTATAATGAAATATCATATAATTAATAAAAGATATATACAATTCTACTATAATAGTAATGTGGGCACATGTTAATATGTCTACCGTTTATGTGTATGCATACATTGATATTAAATATTTTCACAATGAAATGTTGTATTATAAAAATTATCTAATTAATAGTAAGTTAAATAGTGGTAACCAATTAAGTTAATTTAAACCTATGTTATTTGTGCTAACAAACTTAATTAATTGACAATTTGTTAAGCTGTAATCGATGGCACAGTTATAAGTTAAATTAGCGGAATATCTACTCCAATGGATATATTAACTTTAAAGTAGGATATCTAATATGGGCAATGATGGAAGGTAAATATGATGTTCACATAAATTATTAGTCATAATTTTAAAAGGATGCATGATTAAATTCCGGACATTGAGTTCCCACATGTACAGTGAAATTTGCCCAAGACAGATTAAATTCTATAGTGTAGCAGTGAATGTAAATGAGTCGAACCGGATACTCGAGTTCGATCTCAAATCTTTATCGAGCCGAGTTAAATTCCTGATACTTGAGTTCAATCACTTGTCGAGCCCACCTAAACTCGAGCTTTTACGAGGACAATTCGAGTTTTAACAAGTCGAACTTTATAAAATTATATAAAAAAATTTATATATTTAAGCCTTAACAAACTTGAGATTAATTCACTTATCAAATTAATCGAGATGAGATCGAGGTTTAACGAGCTCTGTCGAGCTCACGAACTACTCGGGTCGTTTAACAGCTTCACTCATTTCAGCACAGAAAGGCCCATCTCGTTTTTTCTAATATTGAATTCTAACTAAAGCTGTGGCGTGTCTACAGAGACTGAAAGCTTGAATTATATTAGCAATTTATAAAGTTTATTGTTTCTTGTGTCTACTAATTAAACATTGACTGAAAGCTTGAAATGTGGAGCATAAAAGTAATAATAGTTTCGAAGATAAGAAAGAAAAGTATTATATATGCAATTCATTGTTTCTTTGAAAAAGCACAATGCATTAAAAGTTGGAGCTAATTAAAAGTTGTTACTTAACTTCAAGAACATTATATTAGCAAATAGCAAGTAAAGTTCAGTTGAGAATAAGGAAAAATCAAGAAACGTGTGGGAAAATTTTACTTATGTTAAAAAATAATATAAATTATTTATTTATTTATTTTTAAATATAACATTTCAGTTTAAAAATATTTTTTGAAAAATTTTTATTGTCTAGTCATGAAATAGGAGAAAACGACCGATTGATTAAAAAGGGGCACTATGAATTAAAATAAAGGAACATAAAGTTAGATTAAGCGAAAAAGAGCAAATACATCGAAACCGTTTGTTGTTGTTTTAGATGGAAATTGGTTGCGTACCATAAATAAAAAAGAAAATACACAACTACATAATAAATGCACGTACATAAAGGTGTATAACACACTCACGTTTGATTTTTTATTTTTGTTTCGATGTACACTCCTACGCACAATTTCTCGAATAAAAAATTAAATGAACTCCACTCAATATGAGTGTTGCTCATATTTATGAACTCATGTTTATGAACTCCACTCAATATGAGTGAGAAAGTTTTGCTCATGTTTATGAACTCCACAACAGGTTTGGAAATCAAGACCTCCAATAAACCTCATTTGTGGGCCCATTTTCTCAGTTTTTACATTAAATGAGGTTTATGAGTTTATTGTTATAGATGTAAGAGTAATGCTGAGAAATGTAAAAGTGAGGTTTATTGAAAATATTGCTAAAAATGCCCTTATTAGTTGTGTGTGCATGATTGTGTGTATGTTTTGCTTTTTCTTTTATTTATTTATTTATTTATTTATTTATTTATTATTATTATTATTATTATTATTATTATTATTATTATTTCATTTTCGCCCAAAATCGGTGGACTAGTGAATTAATGAATTCCAACTACACTTTTACTTCCATGAAAGGTATCATTGGCAAACTATATATTACGAAAACCATTAATTAAAAAATAGAATGGATGACAAAACAATCATATATAAGAATGACTTATATAAAGCTGTTTAATCTTTAGGTAGTTGGACAAATTTCCATACCTATATATTAAAATGAATCGTATTGAGGCCGAGCTCAAGCACGACTATCAGGCTGGAGCCCTAACTGAGTCGAGCCGAGTCTTTATAAGTCTATCAACCTTGCCGAGCCACACAACACAACACACTCAGGTACATATAGATACAGGGTGCAATATTACACTGCAGGCACCACTTCTAAATTGTCCGATGAAAAGTTGCCATGTAAAATAATATCAATAAACCTTATTTACTATTTGCAATTTGTTAAAAAATGAAAAATAAACTCAAGAACGCTTGGATGAGATGACTTGGGTCTCTTTCAGCTTAACCAGTGGTCTCGAGTTCGAGCCCTGGGAATGCAGCAGTGTTAAAACTCTTGAGGAAGAGCTTTGCCGCCCTTGTGGTCCTACCCGGCTCGATTCCGAATTAATCGGTTCCCCTGTGGATTCGGAAACTGGAAGGTCCCTGTACCAAAAAATAAAAAATAAAATAAAATAAAAAATAAAAATAAACTCTTATTATTACAAAACATGATAAAATTAAAACTCTGAGTGACATCCTCTACACCATCCACAACTGCTTGCCACTATATCTACCCACAAATACACACACTCACATATGTATGTATAGATACAGAGTACAACACTACACTGTGGGCCCCACTTTTCCCAGAATTAATGACGACATCATTCACCCGCAAAAGCAAAACAAAACAGAAAGTAAAATAAAATAAAATCCACTCTGTTTTCCCCTGCTATAAATACCCCCACCCGCCCAACACCTCCATTCCACCCACCACCAAATCCACCACCGTCGCCGCCGCGGCCCTTCCCCTTCACATCACTCGCCAAATCAAAATTGATTTACACTCCAAAAAATCAAACTACAAAAAAAAAAAAAAATAAAAAAATTGTTGCATAAAAGAAATGGCAACTTTGGGAGCATCAGCAGTGCAGATGCACACGCCGCCGCAGAGGTCGCCGTGGCACTCGCCGGTTCCGTACCTGTTCGGCGGTCTGGCGGCGATGCTCGGCCTCATCGCCTTCGCGCTCATGATCCTGGCGTGCTCCTACTGGAAGCTCTCCGGCCACTTCGAGAACAGGGAAGAAGGAGGAGAAGGGGAGGGGGATCTCGAGGCCGGGGAGAAGGCGGCGGCGCCTCCGCCGGCACCGGCGAAGATGGAGGAGAAGTTCCTGGTAATCATGGCCGGGCAAGAGAAGCCGACTTACCTGGCGACGCCGATGTCGAGCCGAGCGTCGTCGTTTGGGAGCAAAAGCAGCTGCAGCAGTGATAATACGACGTCGTCTGATGGGAGTTGTGGGGAGAGTAGTGTAGAGGGTGGTGCACCTGGAACAGGACTAGCAGATCAGATCCAGTGAACTATTTTTTCTTTTTTTTATTTTTCTTTTTTTACCCCTTGGAGATAAGGGAAAGTATTTGGAAGAAGAATTAATTCGGTTGTAGAAATGTGGCAGAATTGAGAATTTGCTTCTTGTTAGGGTTTTTTTTTTTTTTTTTTTTTTTTTTTTTTTTTTTTTTTTCTGAAAATGTGTAAATAAAGTTTTGAAGGACGAATGGAAATCTACTAAATACTACCTATATAGTTAACTAAATAATTACTTATTTGTGTTGGTTAGTTAGGTCTTGATGCTTAATTTGTAACTACATAACAATTTTGTTCGAGTTCGACTTTAAGTTTATATAAAATAAAAGGAGATGTTACGGTCCTGTTACAGAATCATTTTGTCGGGGTTTGTAACTGTTCATAACTATTTCCGACGACTTCATGATGATTTAACGATTTCAAACCCAACGGAATAGTTCCGTAACGAAACATTAACATTTATCTAAAATAAATTAGGTTGTTTGGTTGGTAGAACATACAACCACAACATGAAACAAACAAATAAATAAATAAATGAAAAAAAAAAAGAGAAAAATGAAAAACAAAAACAAGAGAAACATGATGAGCGTAATTTGTTGATAGAAATTGTTGGGTCACGTGACACATGGGTGAACACGTGGCCTATCATCAAACAGAGTTGTTGTTCTCTTTTCTAGCCGCGGCGACGTGAAATTTGCAATAAAGACCGCTAACAGGTTCACCAAATCATGTGTGTGTGCGTTTTATATTCTACTTAAAAATAAATTTAATTATCCACCATTATTAATTCCAATCCCACATTTTTATTTTTATTATTATTATTATTATTATTATTTTTGTTTGCTTTAAACACCATATATACTTATCTATTTCCATAAGAAGCTACATTTTAATGAAATGAATTTGGACAGAGATTTATAATGAACTACATTCTATTTGTAGGGAGATGCTACCGGCAGTCATCGAACCATTCCGTCGAGTTTGTAACTGTTAGATCATCATGTAATCGTCGGGGATAGTTGTTCTAACGGTTGCAAACTCCGACAAAATGGTTCTATAACGGGTTCGTAAAATCTCCTTACAAATAGAATGTATAATTACAAAGAAAAATAATACGATTAGCACGACACGACATAACACGACCCAAAACATATCACAAAAAACACAAAATAAAAACTAAACTTTCATTGCAACTTACTATCATATTTAGAAATCAAATAAGATAATTGGTATAACCAAAAGAAATTCCAATTGCTAGAAAGCAACAATTGGTATAATTTTACTTTAATTTTGAAAATAGCACATGGTACAGAATTAAAAGTTTTTGCATGATATTTTTCAATGTAAATTTACACTTTTGTTCAAGACATATATAATAACGGGTCAATCTCATCTAACCGTTAATCTGGGTTGCTACAGAATTAGTAAAAAAACAAAAAAGTGGCAACATTATAAGAGCCAATCAGCCATGAAATCGAGAGAATTATAGTGTAGTGAGGTACACAACAGCATGCATTGTCTTGTTAGTGGGGATTGCATTATTTTTAGCTTTTCCAAGTCTTAACTTCACATAATAAAATATGATGATGAAACCAATAGTTGTGGTTAAGCATATAGTATATGGTATCTGCAAAGGTTAAGGTCCCGTTACGGAACAATTTCGTTGGGGTTTGTAACCGTTACATCATCATGTAATCGTCAGAAATAATTGATCTAACGGTTACTAACCCCGACGGAATGATTCCGTAACGAGACGTTGACTTTCTTCCTATGGTATGAATATACAATTTATAATAAAGTAAATAAAAAATAAAGTTTCCTTTTTACTCTGTCCGAACTATTATACTTCACATAATTATTCTCTTTTAATTTTAAAATCAAAATTAATTAAATATATTATTTTACATATTTATTTATATAAATTGTCAATAAATGTTTAGCAAAAGAATTGGATATATATAACAATATCTGAAAATATGCCAAGCATACTCTTGTTCCATTATAAATATTGTTTCTAGTATTAATTTAAATAAAACATATATATTTTATTTATTTATGATAAATGTTTAAATATATATATAATACATACATTTAATTTAATGATACACAAAAACATAGCAGTGCCATTTCAACAATAACAATTGTTATATAAAAAAGTTTTAAAATAAAAAAAAAATAAATAAATAAATAATACTGCGCTACATATTATATATGCAGATTGTGGCGCAACATTGAGTGAAATAGAGCAGTTGTAATGATGAGGGGAATAATTTGATAGTAAAATATGAGTTCCCACTATTAAATATTTTACAGTTGTAATGATGAGCACAACTTTGTACATATCAAATTTAATAGTCTAGTGGATAAAATACAAGTTCCTATCTGAATCATTTTATTCCACAACTTGTTTAAGGATTTGCTGACGTGAACAAACAAGCATTAACTTTTGCCTAATTGAGTTATATCACTCATTATATATAGGAAACTGCTACGGTAAATCATTCCGTCGAAGTTTGTAATTGTTAGATCATCATGTAATTATCGGAGTCGGGATAATTGATCTAACGGTTACAAACTCCGATAAAATGATTCCGTAACGAGACCGCCCTAATATATATATATGCAAGTAGGTATGGAGTAATTATTTATTAAATGAAATTAAGATAAAAATAGTGGATTAGGATATTCTTTCGCATGCCTGATTATTCTATATATGTCTCCTCCTCAACTATATCTACTCAATCAAAGCACATATGTGATTACTTTTGAATTGGAGAAAATTGCAATTTTAGTTCAGTAATTTAGGTTGTTTCCCATTTTAGTTCACTAACTTAGGCCGATTCAAATTTGATCAAAAAACTCTCAAAAGTTAGTTAAATCAGTCCAATTAGACTAAAATTGGACTGAAATTGACCAATTAATTTCGGCGACAGGGACCGAAATTGGACTGATTTAACTAATTTTTGGGAGTTTTTGGACCAAATTTGGATCGGCCTAAGTTAGTGGACTAAAATGTAAAACAACCTAAGTTACTGGACTAAAATTGCAATTTTCTCTTTGAATTGATTAATTTGCAATCAATTTTTCTAGGGTTTTAGTTGACATGATTATTGGATTGACCAACAACTCCAATAAAGGAGATATTGTGATCATTCACACATGTTTCCCCACAACTTATATTGTAAATCCACTTAATTAATTATGATTACTCCTAAGCACTAATATTAATTATCCAAGTTGGATATAAATATTTTAGACATCATTATATCCAAAACTTGTGTTTTTGAACATGCCCTGATCAGTCTAATAATGATTTTATATTATTACTAAGTACCCAACTCTTTTTTTTTTTTTTTTTGAACATGCCCTGATCAGTGTATGCTGCTCAGACGGTTAAAACGTGAGGTCATTAATTTTCAGGAATAGGTAGGATGAAACTCAACAAGAAACGGTTAATTTCAAGTAGCCAACGGATTAGTTTTTTACAGTTGTATTAACACACACCTGTGTAATTTTTTTATATGTATATGCCAATCCAAAGATAAAAAAAAATCGGTGACTGCACTAGAATTATCGAGCCACACGGCCCACACCTATAGAAATAGTGAAGTGATGATGTATGCACACATGTACTGTTATACGTTGAACAGTACGTGCATCAATCTGTTGTACCATGATTCATTGATTTGTTCGTACGAAGGGGAAATAAAAGCAACAGATGGGATGTATGTACGAGGATGGATGCCTTTGCTGTTGCTTTTGTGTAAGCTGCTACCGTTAAATAACTGCCTTCCCTTTTCCCCAATTCTAAAAGAAGCTTATGCTATTTTTACTGCTATATATTTTTCCTAATTATCCAATACAAACAACTCACACAAATTAAAGCAAGCAATTTTCATCTTTGATTTTGGATCATGGAAATGCCATTATTAATATCATCAACATAAACATACCCAGTATATTCCTAACAGGTTGGGGTCGGTCTGGGGGGTCAGTTGTACGCAGAGCTTACTCTTGTAATTATACAAGGAGGCTGTTTCCATAGCGACCCAAGTTGCGTTGCGTCGTTTGATATATTTTTTTCTTTCTAGAAACTTCACTAATAGAATAAGCACTATAATTTGATTGAGTTATTTTGATGTAGTCCATTATTAGCACTATGTATATATAGCACAACATATATATACTAAATTTTTATAGCCATAAAAGTAATAGTGGTAAACAATAATAGCGGTCGAGGATTCAGCATATATCCTATCCGTGCTTACGCATGGACAGGATTAAGCACGTAGGAT